CCAGGGGTCCAGCAGTGCTCACTGGATGGCAGAGGCAGGGTGATGAAGGAGCTCTGCTGTGGGGTGCTCCTTCCTCCAGGCTATCCTCCTCCTTGGGGTCTTTGCTTCATTACCAGCAAGGGAGGAGGTGGAGGGAGGAAAGTCATAGTCCATGAGAGCCAAGAGTGAATTTATTTCAGCGGGCCCAAGTCATCCCTGTGGCACTCATGGTCCAGTGGGGCAGTGCTAATTGCTCTATTGACAGTGGGGGTTTAAATTAGATTTAAGAAAGCTTTTCAAGCAGTGGGGATTCTGTCTCTGCTGATAAGGCTTTCTGATAGCACATATGAAGGAGATGATAAAGTCCCTCTTTTCTTTCTTCCTCTTAGGCAGCAAAGAGGAGTTTAGTGCTGACAGGGCACTGTAAGGCCCGAAGGCTTTAGGGCTGTTAGCAAGTGTCTGATATTAAGTGGCAACTATTTTTTTCCTCTGCTTCCCTCGCCTTGCTGCCAGGGATGATCTGAAAGGAGGAGACAGCACTCAGTGCTGTCGGGTGCGCAAGCAGAGCTGCCCACATGTAGTGCAACCCCTGGGAACCCAGGGCTGGAGGGTGTCCTGCCCCCTTTGGTGCTTCACTGCTCATGGCAGCACCACACCCTGCCCCTGGGAGGGATGGCATGCCACAGGAGGCACCCTGCATCCCCAGGGCTGGGAGAAGCTGTGCCAGCATCCCTGGCCTAGGCTGAGGAGTCGAGGGTGGCTTTGGTAAGTGTGTTGTTTCTCCTTCAGTAACGCTGGGGCCCAGGAGGTGCCTGCTGCCAGTGTAGGGGCACTGTGATGCCTGCAGCTGGCACCTGCACTACAGGCACAGTGCCACACCTCAGCAAGAGGCAGACTGGGACCTGGCCTGCAGGACAGGTGGGCTGCAGTACCTGCAGGCAGCATCTGCGCTCCAGGTGTTGGGTACCAACACAGCCAGCCCCTGTGGTGCAGGTGTGCAGTAACACCTACACTGGGCAGCTGCAGTACAGGGGGTACCTGAGCACGTGCTGGGGGTGTCTGCAGCACAGGGGAACTGTAGCAGCTACAGCCTGTGTCAGCAGACAGGTGTCCATCCCCAGCACAGATGACCATGCAGAGCCTGTGCCAGCAGAGAGATGTCCACGCACAGCCCAGGTGTGCAGCACAGATGTCCATGCACAGCCCAAGTGTCCATCCACAGCCCAGGTGTCCATGCACAGCCCAGGTGTGCAGCAGAGGTGTCCATCCCCAGCCCAGGTGTGCAGCACAGGTGCCCATCCCCAGCCCAGGTGTGCAGCAGAGGTTCTAGCACAGCACTGACAGTCACTGTGGGCTGTGCAGTCGCACCGTGGTCCCTGCCCGCAGGACAGGTGCTGCAAAGCTCCATTGGAAGGCTCAGGGCAAAGCTGGAGGGGAAGCAAATGACTGAACAGAGTTTGTTTTTCCCCAGTTCACCACTTCAGAGCCAGACTCCATAACAGCACCTGGTGGTGAATTGTCTGATGGAAGACTTTGTCATGGAAACACTAGGTTTTGAAACTACCACTTTTCTTCTGAGGCAGCCACACAGTTCTAGAATGAGGGTTTTGTTTATTTACCATTGCTGAGGGGCAGCCTGTGGCAGGTGAGAGTTGTGGTGGGAGACTGGGGTGCAGCCCACATCCCTCACCAGCCCTGCCCTAGAGCTGCTCTTTCCAGGTTCCAGTTGGTACTCCATTGCTAGTGGAGAGCTGGAAGGGATCCATCCCTTTGCCTACTAAAAAGAGGACACTGGGACTGTTGAGCAGAAAATGTCATCCTACTTTTTGCCTGGATAGACTGGAATCCCTTGCCTGGAATCCCTTTCACTCTTGCTGTACGCCCTCCTGGGACTGTCCTCACCCCATCACACCACAACAGCTAATGTCACATTGCTGTGCCCCTTCAGTCCTGATCCAGCTCAGGGAACACAGGCCTGGAAACCTTTGGTTTACACTGAGAGCTGCTGGAGGGGACCTTATCCATGTCAGTGTTGAGTTGCCTTCTGCTAAGAGGGACAATGGCTGATGCCATCACTATCCTTGGTATAGAGGACAAGGCAGGGAAAGATCAAACAGGAAGCTGGGGACAGGGAGGATGGCTCCAGAGCTGCTGGTCCACGACTTCATATGTTCCCTCTCCCCTTTTCTTCCTCCCCAGGCTCCTCTTTCCTCTCTACTTCCAAGAAATTATTCATTACTGGGGGAAATTTACCTTTTGCACAGAAGATTAAGTTTCACACTGTGGGCTTTGCTGTGTAATAAATGTGGTTCCCCTCCATCACCTATAAACTGCTCCCTGCTGCCATGGGGATATAGCTCAGAACTCTGCACACCTTGTCAGCTGCTGCTCACTGGCCTGTGCACCCGAATGCCAGGGTGCTGGCTTTTACTGGGAGAAACAGATAAGCAAGCAAATACAGCAACAGGAATTTGCATTGGAAACATCTGCAGAAATTGCAAAGGCTTTGTTATGTGCTTGGGGGAAAAAAAAATCAACATGGCTTTGGGCAAAACAGTCACACAAGGCAAATACTGCATGGAAAATTGCAATCCAAGTGAGAAGAAGTTGGTTTTCTGGCTAGATTTTTGTCCTAGAATAGCTTCTCTCCTCCCTGGTCACAGGGCTAATCTCTAAGAAGAAATGAGGTTTCCAGGGTGAGAGCAGCCAAGTGGTGAATTCTCTGTGCTGTCACTGTAAGCCTCTGCCTGTGTCCTGGCCATGCCACAGAGTCCTCAGGGATCTTATCTGGGTCCCTCTGCTCTCTCTTACTCCACCTGTGTCCCCTGAGACCATCAATGCTCTGGGACAGGAACCATTCCCTGCTGCATAACTCTGTTTCGATGCTGGCCTAGGCACATGGGCAGGAGCAGCAGTAATTATTTTAAGAGCTGATGAGATAAGGGAGGAGCAGCAGGGGGTGGGCAGCAGGTGGCTTTGCTCCCTGGCAGGGCCAGCAGGTAGAATATGATGCTGGTGATGATATTTGCACTGAGCCAAGCTAAAGACTGCATCAAGGAGATCTCACACTTTCCAAAGAGCAATCTGGTTGCTGGGGGTCCAGTCCTACCTCCTGTCATTGTCCCCAGAAATGGGGTGACTGCACTAGCTGGAGATACCTGGGCTGTGGTGAAGGGAGGCTATGGCCCCTGGTTCCTTGCCTGCTGCAAGTCCTGGTGCCACCCATCAGCTCCCAGGGCTGCAGAAAGGGAATATTCAGTGGAAAGTAAATTTGAGTGTAAATAGGGAGAGTTGGCTCCTGGGTTGCAGGTGGCTTCCCAGCTGCTCAGAGTCTGTCCCACATGCCAGCAGTGCCCCAAGATGTGGCATTGCCACCTGCCTCAGGTTCCAGCGGTCACCCACTGCTTGAGGTGCCTCTTGTGATGGCAGCTGGAGCACAGGTGGGGTCACAGTCAAGGAGCCATGCTGTGGGCACAGAGGGGACACATGGAAAAGGCAGCGGAGGGCAGGCATGAGACAAGCGGGGGGGAAGAAGAAGAGTGAGTGATAAGGAGATTGTAATTAGCACTTGGCGCTCCTCGCCCAGAGCTCTCAGAGGAAGGTCACCTTCACCTTCATTATCTCTGTTTTACAGATGGGGAAACTGAGGCAGTTAGAGTGATTTGCTCAAGGTAACCTGTGAGGGCTGTCAGCAGGGTCTGGGTCTTGCCTGTCCATGCTCTGCAGCACCAGCACACTGGGAATGGCTCTTGCTGTCAGCCCCTGGAGCCCAAACCCAGCACTGAAAGATTAAAGGACATAGATCCCTTCTTTGCCCATCTCCAGGCTCATCCTCTTCAGACCCACTGTCTCCCCAAGCATCCCCGCCCCTCAGAGACATTTGAGATCAGGCTGGTCAAGCTGCACCCCAAAATCTGCTCGTGCAATCCCACCCAGCTGCTCTTGCCTTCCCTCCAGCCCTGCCAAGGCTCCCTGTGAGCCCGAGGCCATCTGGGCTCCTGCAGCAGTCCTGTTGGGTAATGGAATATGTTTTGCTGGTTTTTTTTTTCTCTCACCAATGGAGCTCCCTCTTTATTTAGGTTTAAATGGATGCCATCTGGCTAATGAGCCCATACTCATGTTCTAGATTAAAAGGCAATCCTGTGCACGTTACCGATACGGCACTGGAGATTAGAGAGGCTTAAATGGTTTTGAAGGTGCAATTTGCTTTTCATGCACGGTGCAATTTACTTCCTGGTGGGTGGGCCAGCATCCCTGTGGCTGTCCCCAGCAGCTCACTCCTGGCTCTGGTCTCCTCTACCAGCCCTGGCTGCATGAAAATGAGAGCTTGGGCATCTCCAGCCTGGCAGGGCCATGCAGGGTATTATTGTAGTTATTGCTGCCATTTGTCCACTCCTAGAGGGGCTTTTTGTTGCAGGCAGGATATCTTCATCACCTGAATTCTTAGCTGTCACCCCCTCCATACCTCCCTGTACCACAGCATCCCCTGGCACAAGGCACAGCTCACCAGGACAGAGCAGCCTCTGCCCCTCTCCTAGCCCACAGAAGTGGGGGACAACTGTGGCCCATCAAGATATTGATGGCAGGTGGCTGAGGCTGAGGTCTCTCCTGAGATCTTGCACATCCTGCAGCATCAACTGTGAACTACCTGTGTGTGCTCCCATCTCCTCAAAACCCCTCTGCAACCCATTTGCAGGTAGCACTGACTCCTGGGATGATGCTGCATCTGCCAAGGAGAGCCCCACCAGGGATTGGGTTTTCTAAGGAAAATGTTGAGAATGAGACAGGGAAGATGGAGCATTTGTGCAAGGCATGTCATCACCTCCAGGCACCTCCCATGGAAAGTGCCACAGGCTATGGAGTGATGAAGCGTGCCCCAGCAAAATGCCTCATTTTGCAGTGAATTTCCCCTTGGCTGCCATGGAGCTGGTTTTACAGTCATCTCCTTGCAGTCCCATCACTGGGGTCTCTCAGCCCTAGGGGCAAGCCCTGACTGCTCCTGCCTGTGTTTGCTTCCACAGATGGCTAACCCTGTGCCGTCAGCGTGCTGCGTGGTGCTCGCCGCGGTGGTGGTGGTGTACGCCCAGAGGCACAGCCAGCTGGGTGAGTCCTTCACGCCCCCTCCCAGGCCCTGGGGGTCCTCAAAAACGGGAATCCTGCTCCTTCAGCCCCTCTCTCCTGGGGGAATCTGGGCGCACCCTCCAGGTGTGCCTGATATTATTGCTGTGCATGTTATCACTTCTCTCCATGACAAGTGTCCTCTCCACCCCACCACTGTGGGCTTTGGGCATCCTGCATATCCCTCTGCTGATGCCCCTTGCCCTGCCCACGGCTCTCTGTGTCCCTACTGTTTTGGACCCCTTTGCCCACTCTTTTGTGGACACTGCCCCATGCAGCCTGCCCATGAAGGGATGAGGAGTTGGGAGGAAGCACCAGGCTGACATCTCCAAACTCTGATCATCCCTGAGAGCTCCATGACACCTGGACCCATGAAAATGATGGATGATGCTTCATCCTGCTCTCACCTCCTTCGATTGACTTAATCTCCACTGCCACCACACATCTGTGCCCATCACTAGCTCACATCTCTCCAGGTTGGCAGATGATTCTGGCTTATTTTAGTGGTGGCTTTAGAGTCACTGGTGGCACTGGGAGCTGGAGGAGCCCCACATAATCCTGGGTCTAGGCAGGAGCAGGAAGATTAGGAGGGATGGCTGGTCTTAGTGTAGGGTCCAGTTCTGCAAAAATGGGAAAAAATGGGGAATCTCCAGAACTTCCTGCTTTTCCTGGCAGCCTGTCTGTAGTAGCTTTTAGAAGATCTTGGAGGGGAATTTTGCTCATTAACTCCAGTAAAGACATCTATGCATCCTTGGGCTCTGTGAAATTGAGGAATCCAGCCAGAGTGCCCACTGAGCTGCCTTAAATCCAGTTGGGTGGGTTTACATTGCCACAAGCTTCCAGGTTGGACACAAAGCACCAGGGTTTGGCGGCACATCCTCATTGCATGGGCACAGCCACTCTCTGGACACGGAAGGATCTTGCTGGCTGGTGTTCCAGGAAGGTCCCCAACCCCTTCCCAGGGTGCCTGCTCAAAGCATTTGGGTGCTGAGCTGTATGGGATGGTGGTGTGATGCTTCCTGCAGAGAAGCAAAGCTGCTCTCTCCTGCTGTGCTTGCAGGATCACTGCCTGGGGAGCTTTAAAGGACCTGGCAACAGGACAGCAGAGCATCCTTTTGATGCTTTGAATAGTAACCCAGGCCTGCTGCACAGGGGGGTGCACAAAACACAGAAGTGCCAGGTACTTCAGGGTTGCACGCACTTGAATTGCGTTGTCTAGAGAAGAACAAATGCTGCTGCTCACCAGTGAGCAGGACCACACATTTTGCCGCTGACAGCTGGTGCAGAGCTGCAGTCACTGTCACCTTCTGCTCTGTGATACAGCAGGATTGAGGGGTTCAGCAGCATAGCCTCCCATGTCCTCGTGTCCCTCATGTTTCCCCTGCCTGCCTGTGTCTGGGAGGGAGATTTTTGGGGCACCAGCTCAAAACTGAAGCTGCTGAGGCCTGTGTGCATCAACAACTGCCTGAATGGAGTGTGAGAAGTATGGCAGGGCTCTTCCCATCTGTAGCAGCTTCACTGGGTGACAAAAAAGTGTACAGGGTCAGAAAATTAATTACGAGACAGTAGAACACCTTCAACACTGCCCTCAATCTGTCCCTCCCGGGCACCTCTCTGAAATTCCAAGGTTTGCTCTGGGCAGGAGCTTTGGAGCAGCAGATCTCCCTCCCTGTAGCCTCGGAGAGGCTGCACACAGGCAGGTCAACACCAGAGACCCAAATCTTGTGCCCCGTGCCCCCCAGCCAGAGCTCATCCCCTGCCCTGCTGCAGCCTCTCCTCACCAGCCGAGCCCAGAGCTCATCCTCCACCAGCCGGGCACTGGGGCTGGAAGTGCACAGCAGGAATGGGGCTGGAAGTGCACAGCAGGAATGGGGCGGGAGGATGGTTTAATCCCACTGGTGGCAGGGACCCGGTGGAGTGGTGGGGAGATGCTGGCACAGAGTCCATTTATCATGCACTTGAGGCACGTTCGACTTTAATAGCTCATGAAGCACTCTAAGAGATGCATTAGCACTGAATACTTGAGTGAGGAGGATGTGACAAGCTGTTAAGTGAGCATGAGCACGGCGGAGGGAGCCTGGCCACCCTGTGCTGGCTCTGTATGCACCACGGTGATTACTGGAGCGTCCTGCAAAGTGCCACATGAATTAATAAAAGCAGCGTCAGGCTTGGCGAAGGTGAGGCTATTCATGTATTAACCCCTCTGCTGCTCGCCTTTAGTCCTTCTCCTTGGAGCTGGCAGAGCATCTGTCTGGGATGCAGAAGCCTGGGACGATCCCCAGTTAGGGAAGGGAGTGGAGGGGCTCAGAGGTCAGTGGGTTTGGGGTTTCTGTGGCCTTTGGGGTGGCAGAGCTCCCTTGCTTTGCATCCCTGGCAGGCTGCTCAGGTTTCATGTGCATCACACAGCTGGGGACTGAACTTCCCAGGGGATGGGCACTGGGTGGTGGGAGACCAGAGACATCCATCAGGGCAGCTCCAGGGGCATGCTCAGAGCATCTAATGTTCTGGCTCTAGCAGTGGGTTTGGGCTGTCCTGCTGCGGGGAGAGGTAGAGGGGCAGTGGAAGAGGGTGTGCAGGACTGTCATCCCCAGTGCATGAGTAATCAGCTTTAGATGGGGCTGCCAGATTGGGCCAACCTGCCTGCAGAGATGGGCATTGCCCTGGACAGCCACAGGCTGTCCCCATCCGCACAGATCCAGCTGGCATGGAGGGATGGATGTGATGGTGTTCACAGGGGTCCCAGGACGAGGGAAGAGACATGAATCTTGACTCATTTTTTGAGAAGGCTGATTTATTATATTATAATATGTATTATATTAAAAGAAAATTATATATTACAGCTATACTAAAAGAATAGAAGAAAGGATTTCATCAGAAGGCTAGCAAGGAATGAAAAGGAATGATAATAAAATCTTGTGACTGCTCACAGCCTCAACACAGGTGGCTGTCATTGGTCGTCAAGTAAAAGCAATTTTACATGCTGGGTAGACAATTCTCTACATCGCATTCCAAAGCAGCAAAACATGGAGAAGCTGAAACTTCTCAGGAGAAAAGATCCTGGCAAAAGGATTTTTTATAAAGTATGTCTGTGACAGATGGACAGGAGCTGCAGGAAGAATGGGAGAGCACAGAGCAGGCAGAACAGGCTGAAAACCTGAAGAGAAGGGGAGAGCCTTGGGCCCTCTGTAAGGAATCAAAGAATGGTTTAGGTTGGAAGGGACCTAAAGATCACCAAGCTCCAGTCACACAGCCATGGACAGCAACAGCTTCACTAGACCAGTTTGCATAAAGCCCCATCCAGTCTGGCCATGAACACTTCCAGGGATGGGACATCCACAGCTTCTCTGGGCAGCCTTCACCAGTGCCTCATCATCTTCACAGTGAAGGATTTATTCCTGATATCTAATCTAAACCTACTCTTTTTCAGTTTAAAGCCATTACGCCTTGTCCTGTCACTGCATGTCCTTGTGAGAAGTCCCTCCTCAGGTCTCTTGTAGCCCCTGTATGTACTGGACATTCATCCCAAAGCCTTCTCTTCTCCAGACTGAAAAACACCAAGTATTTCAGCCTTTCCTCATAGAAGAGGTATTCTAGCCCTCTAATCAACTTCCCATTATTGTGGATAGCTCAGTTTTCCTTCGTGTGTTTCGTTCTCCAGGCAGTGGCTGCTGCCAATTTATTTCAGAATGGAGGAAGGTGCTGGGGGAAGCCGAGCAGAGCGCGGATGCGATTGCTGTCTGCTGTGACACTCACACCTTTGGTTGTCCAAGGCCTCCACTCTGTGAGAGCAGAGCTGGTTGGGGTCCCTGCAGTGCAGTGACCTCCTCCCTAGCAGGGTCTGGGTTCCTTCAAAGGTCTGGGAGAGGTCACTGCACAAGCTTTGGGGTTTAACCCAAGCTCTTATGTGGGAAGTGTGTGTGTGGCAGAGATATCTCACCACATGTCAGGCTACAAAGTGTACTTGCGTGGGTGATTTCAGCTTTTTGTACTGAGTGCTCTGACTGCCTGTTGCTGGACTTACTTATTGCACCCAATGCCTAAGGCAGTCCTGGAAAGAGGGAGCTCTGCTGTGACCAAGGTGTCTTCCCCATCCATCAGCCCTGCCAGAGTTATGTCCACATCTGTCCCAGATTGAGATTTCTTTGCTTTTAAAAGAGGAGTAATTCTGCTTTATTGATCCTCACCTTGCTGAATTAACTCATGTTTAAACAATAATTATGTTTTCACCCAGGAGAGGAGACAAAGAGATAAAAGGCTCTGGAAATGAATGCACTTCAGATGCCACATGCTGGGGTTAATTTATTGATGGGTGAAGAAGCTCCCATCTCCTCTCTTCCTCACCAGCTACAAGCAATTAGCCCCCATCATTCCTCAGCCGAGGAAAAGAGAGATTTTGTTTCATTACTCTCCGTTTTTTCTTGCTCTCTTAAGCCCTGACTAATCTTTTGCAGTCGGTTCTGCTGCAAAGCCTCCCGGGGGCTCCAGTTTGCACATACCTTGTTAGAAATGCTGCTACAATGACAAAGCCCGGACCAGTAAATAGCCTTCAAAATGCACAGCAAAGCCAGGCAAATTGGCTTTTCAAAGAGAAACCAGCTGTAGATAGGAAAATCTCTTTCCCCTTCTAGAATTGCCCAGCCTTGTCTGTGTTGCATTTTTTGGCTGACAGGGGTGTGACCAGCTCTTTCTGCACTTCGCTTCCTCCAAGTAAGTGAGCCCATGCCAGGGAGTGCCATCTGCCTGGCACGCTTAAACCAGACACTTTGAATTTGGAGGTGTTCTCTGGATTTGCTGTGTAGAGATGGTTTGTACATTCACACCAGGCTGTGTGTTTTGTTTGTAGACATTTGTGTAGGCTTTGGTTGCTGTGCAAATGCAGTTGAGTTGAGGTGACTGGATTCAAGAGGTGTGATGGGGTAGCCTTGTGCATGCAGCCTAAGATGGCTCTGCAGGAGTGCTATCTACAAATATACATTCATAAGTAT